AAAGAGAAAATTAAAAGGGGATGATTTTTGATGCTGTCAAGAAACTTAGCAGAACAACCACTCTCAATTAAAATATCTGGAGAGAAACAAAAATGTGATAAGACAACAAATAACATCAGAAAGAACAGTATTCTTAGCTCCTGGGAGCATTAGTCAATGTTCTCTTGCAGAGTTTTTCAACGTTTTCCAATTTGCAGACCCTTTAGTAGTTGTCAGTGAAGATAACTCTACTCTCCTTATGATGGGACGTGTAGAAGACAGAAAATAGGTTTTGGTAAGAACGTTCTGTCCCAACTTCAGCAAGGTTCCAGGCCTCCCCTAAGGTGCATATATGATTTTGTACATACTTCTGTAGGTATACACTCATCTTTCTGGAGTAAATAGCTTAGTGGTGAGAGTTTTATCTATAGGTTGAGCAGGAAATACTTGTACCCATGTGGATGTATACACAAAACCAACCATAGGGGTGGAGATCCATTCAAGGAGTCATCAGAAACTAGGTTTCAAATAGCTATTACTTGTCTCAACAGAACTGGCATACCACAGACAAACAAAATAGATATTTCCTGATTAGTTATAGCAGATCAGTGACTAGTTACATTGCTTGGTTCAATACACTGCTAATTAAACATCATTATAGTAAGAAAGAACACTGGTTCAAGTTGATGGGTTTTGGAGACCTTCAACCATAGGCCAGCACTGGTAGCAGAGCTGGGCCTACAGCTGGGTTTTCAAATTGTGGGGAATTTTTGAGTATTCCAAAGCTAGGCTTTGTCTCAAGACCAACTTAAATTTTCTACATACATTTTCTGTGCAGTCTTACACTTAGCTGTGAAATGAGTCTGGCATTCATTTGGGCTCCATATAGCCAATCTCAAAGCTGAAGGAAATGTCTGCACGGGGCTGCCCGGGAGCCACAGCTTCTGAGAGCCAAACCCAGGTCCTCCAGGCTCCCTCTTTGTTCTACATACAGTGCCTGGGAGCCCTGCAAGCGTTGATGGGGCATGCTGGGCTTTTGACTTCCAGACTCTGTGGCAGACTGCCTGAAACCTCTGGCATAGCTGGCTGCCTCAAAGCTAAATGTGGGATTCCTGCCAAGCAGACTGCCACACTGCTCCCGGTCTCAAGGGACAAAGCCTTGAGACCTTGGCTCAGATTTGGAGAAAGTTTTGTAACCCAAGATGTTTGGAACAAAACTTATGTTATTCAACAATTTGGCATTTTTCTCTGAAACTTTCTGCATTTGTAATTTGTAACATTTCAGGCCAGTTTTAGTGGACGTCCTGTTTAAATTAAGTTGTGATGCTAACAGGACACCTGGCAGGATCACACTGGCATCCTCTGTATTACTTCACTGTGAGTGTGAACATTGAGGGAGTTCAGGACATTGTTAGACTTGTGAAAGAGTAGTGCAATTTTCTGCACAATCCTGTATCAGGAATGTGACTTCTCTGAAGCTTGAAGGGCAATATTAGAAGAAAGCTAGTATTTTTACATTGACCCTTCTTCACCAGTTTCTGTCTGCTCTTACTTTGGTAGTCTCATCTCTCCTCTTTGTAGTTTTCTCCACTATGCATGTGCTGGGTTATCACAAAGCAAGACTGAAGGGATTTCTGACCTTGGGAGTGCTGCTGAGTATGGGTTATTCAGACAAGAACTAGGTAGGGATTTAAAGATCTCTTGCTTTTGCCTATAGGGAGGTCAGAATGCAAGGGAGAAAGGAGATCAAAGTACAGTACAGAAGTTATGGATTTGGAGAATGCAAAAGCCATCATAAAGAAACATTTTAAAGGACTGTGTGCATCAGCTGTTAGGCCAAGAGCTCTCTGTACATGGCAGAACACCTGGCTGCTTAAGCAAAGCAGCTTTCTTCTGAAATAGAGCCCTATTACAGGGATTATTCAGAGGAGGTGGTGGATGCAATTTATTAGCTCCTGTGGGAACAACTGGAAGGCTCATTTGACCTTACAGCTCTTTGTAGCCCTTTTCCTCTTCATTAAAAAAAAAAAAAAGACTAAAATACAAGAATGAATGCATTTTAAAAATGCATTTTATATCAGAACTTTCCCAACATAAAACAAATTATTAAAAACACTTCATTAGAAATTGTAAGAAAGCAAAGAAAAATAACTTTATATGCATCTTTAATTGTATATGCAAGTCTTTTTAAAGAAATAAGTAACTTTTTAAGCAGTCTCATATAAGCTCAAACTTAGCAAAATAGAAAAGCGTACACTCAATTTGAAGTGTCATTGCCATAATCAAAACTACTTATGCATTTAAAGCTGGCCACATGTTTTGCTGGTTTGGGAGTCTTTAACAAGATATTTTATGCTTGGACTGAAAGATTCCAGCAGTTATAGGATGCAACCAGTAAGATGAGGCAAGGCCAATTCTGCTTCCCAAATCAAGTAGCATCTGCTGGGTTGCCAGAAGGGGGGAAAATGGAAAGTGGGGTGATATCATTTATGTTGACTTTTGAAAAATTTTTGGCAGGGCAAGTCACAAGAAGCTGTTAAGGAAATGAGTGCTATCATGAGCTATGGAAAGTGACTAATAAAAATAAATACTTGGAACAAATGGTTACTTTTCCTCATGTCAAACTATTAGTAGTTGGCTGCCCCAAGGACCTGCAGAAGGGTTAGTTTACTTAATGTATGTATTAATGAACTGGGAAGAGAAGTATGAGAGGAAAATTTGAAAGGAATACAAAATAAGTAGAGTGAAAACTAGGAAAGATTTTGAAGAGCTTCACTGAGTCATAAGAAAAAGGTGAACTGGCAACAGTAAAGCAGAATAAATGCATAATGAAAGGAATCATACATATAGCTGTGTTCTAAATTAACTGTAACCAGTAAAGAAAAAACAACCTAGAAGCAACTGTGTATCACTCAATGAAAACCTTTATGCAGTGTGTAACAACAGAAAAAATAATTCTCTAAAGTTTGTATCACCACTGTATCAGCAAGCAGTGGGAAATAATTTGGAACAGCTCCTGCTGTTTTTAAAAGGTATTAAAAAACCACACACACACCAAAGGAGGCACAAGAGGATACTGAAAACTAACAGGGACCTAGAAGGTCTTCCACGTGATAGGAAGGCTTAAAAGGCTGGGGCTGTCTGCAGATTGACAGGATGTCTTTCTCTTTATCCTTTCATATAAGGATAAGATCTTATTCAATGAAAGTAAAGGTCAAAAAAAAAAACCACAACACCAAACAAGACCTCAGACACGAAAACTTGATAAAATAAAATGTGCATCTCATTTTTAGGTCCTGGAAATTACTGCCACAAAGCTCCACTGAGGCTTTAAGTATGGTAAGATTAAAAACATAATAAAAATATTGGACACATAGAAAATTAGAAGCTACTTAGTTACATTAAACTGAATAGTATTTTATAGAGAACAGAAACCTTTATTCTTTGAGGACTAAAGCCAGTCAGTAACTGTGGGGATTAGAGAGAAATTTCTCCTGTTTCTTCTTGTTCACTTCAAGGCTGTTTGTACCTTCCTAAAAAGAATGTCTTGCAGCTTCTGTTGTATCCAGTTACTGTCAGAGACAAGGACCTGGCCGTTCTGAGCACTCCTAACTATGACAAGCATTAATACTGAGGAACTTGAATGTTATTCAGACATACCAAGATACGTTAGCAGGAGTGGTATTAATTCTGTTTCTAAAATAATCCAGATCTTTCCAGACCATTGGGTCTTAGCACACATAACTGAGAAGTGATTTGTTACTTGGTGACACACAAAACCAAAGCTGCAGCATTATACATACCTCCCTTGTCATCATTTCCCCACCAGAACTTTACACTGCAAAGGCATGTAACAAAGCCCACACCACTTCATGTCATTCCATGGGAAATGGAAGGAGAGAAGCCAACTGATAATAAAATGGTGCAATATATGAGGAAA